GGAAAAGAAAAAAAGAGAGATTAATAAATATATAAATATCAACCAAAAAACGGAAAATACCTTCTGTAAGGGAATTTTTAGACGTCAAATGAATTGAAATATCACGACCGAATATGCGAAATTGTAGTCGTCATATAATGGTTGCATCATGATTGTGACGATGAAGCAACTATGATTAGACGACCAATGTGCAGAAAGCCTTACACTTTATTGTACTAGAATTGAATGGGTTATTAAATTGCATACTCAAATTCAAAATAATCTAAATAAAAAGTTGAAAATTTATATGAAACTTTGCATATCTTTGATCATTTTTGCACAAAGTTTGAAATATGGATATGGCGTTTGTTATATAACGTTCAAAAAAGTTTTTATTTAGACTACGGACTCTATTTTTTTTTCTAAGGAATATTTTGGGATACAATTTTTATGAAAATTATTCATAAAGTATATGTATATTATTCATAAAACTTATGGATATCGTTCGTGAAGGTTAGTAATACATTTCATAGGGTTATAAATGCACTGTTCACAAAGCTTATGAACGTATTTCGAAAGTGTTTATAAAGTTCATGAATATTATTCACAAAGATTACGAATGTGTACATAATCTTTATGAATTTAGTTAATATTATTATATAATAATTAATATTATGAATGCATTCTCAACTTTTATGGTTTTTAGATTTCGGTTTGTGGATACGGTTTAAGAACATTGGTTAAATATAAGGCGTGTTTTATTTGACGAGAAAATTAAGCTACATAAGTCTTCCATACAAAATAAGCTAATAGCTTATATAGGCAGAGAATGTGCCTTTTTTGCCTTACAAGAGTGTGATGTTGTAAGGAACTATCAAAAAGGTGAAATTTTTTGGTAGAAACGAAAATACCATTAAATTCGGGCATGTGCTGCAAATCGTACGATTTCAAATCGATGCGATTTGCAAAATATTTTTTTATTATTAATGCAAGTAATAAATATTTCAAATAAAAACTGATAGAAGCTCCAAAAGGACGTCATATTATTCGATTTAGAAGCAAATTTTTTCCGTTTTCTTAAGAATTCTCCAAAATAAATTTTGGAAATCGCACCGATTTCAAATCATACGATTTGCAGCACATGCCCGATTATTTTCGCGGTTGCAGCTCCATATGTCGCCTTTCTCCGATGCTCTTCGTTCTGTGGAAATCTAAAAAATTGGAAAATAGGAGATGGTTTTCCTAGGCCGAATCAATCAATAAATCTTTCATCTTTGCTACTCGAATTTCCAAAGAAAAGTCTCATATGATGACCGTTCTTCCATGGCACCTGGATTCGATCCCTGGCCCAGGCAAGATCGAATTTAGAAAAAGGTTTTTCTAACAAATGACCACACTTCCATTTGCCGTTCGGGCAAGGATAATGTTCGGAGCCGGCGAAAAACTGTGGTCGCTCCATTTATGTAACAACATCACGACGCACACCACAATTGCCAAACACTTAGCAAAAGTGTAAAGGCCAAAATATTAATATTTTTACTAGTCTCATTAGGCTCTGGTAAAAGCGGTAAGGATAAGGAATATTTCACCGAAAAGTTTTTAACATTTCTAATAAAAGGGTAGCAGTAAAAAAATCCAGAAAAAAGCTACGAACCCAAAATTCCGAGGCTAAAGCAAAAATATGATTGCTAAATCTACATAACCTCCAAAAAGGCTCATCTGGTCACACTGGTTGCATTATAACTGCTTTCCTGCATGAACGAAAGACACAAGTTATTAGTTGTGTTTTTTTACAAATTATCCAGCAACTCTCCAGTAACTTTATTTCTAAGAATTCGCTCTCATATAAAAAATTTGCAAAAAAGTACACGAACGCTTTTCCAGTAATAATTTGCAAGTTTCATGAACAGCTGATAAATTGGTTGTTTATTCACAGCAAATTCCTAACAAAACAATATATTTTGTATTTAAATAGGTTTATTTTGTGAAATCCAACAATAAAAACCCACAAACAGTTTCCTTATTAGTTTAAATTTCATCCAGCAACATGCGATCAGCTGTTTTTCGTACTGGCAAATTCTTACAAGTAAAAATTTATCCAGTAAAATCCAGTAAAAACTTGCAACTTCAACTGTCATTTTTCGCTCTTTCAATTTCCCCTACTTTGCAAGTTTTTGCGTACGAAAACGCCAAAACATGAAAATTCGTAAAAACTTTTACTGGATTTTACTGGAAATGAGTAAACAAACGCAATTATTATCTAGCTGTTTAAATCCCGACGCCATCTTTGTTGTAAGAAGTAAACAACGAAGAGAATGCAGAAAACCGCAATATTTTTTTTTTTGACCACGTGAACCGATTTCGATATTGTTTTTGCATCGGAAAGGTAGTGTCTTCTCAGAGGTGGTCCCATACTAATCTGGTTTTATTTCCGATCATTGGGTCAATATATATACATATACATATGTATATAGATATATATGTATTTTATTTTTTATTAATAAGGCCATTCGAGTTTAATTTTATTAAAAACGTCAACAACAACTAACTGAAAGCAATGTAAAAAAAAAAACTTATAAAAAAAAATAATAAAAAAAATACATAAATGAAAAGGGTGAGCTTTAATAGTCAGCCGCACCTTGTGTTTTAAGAAAACCAGGTGGAATTAACAAATGAAACTTGGTCAGGATGTTAAGGGAGGTATCCTCTAAAACATGTATAACTAAAAAATATAAATAATATCATTGTTTATAAGTTATTTGTTGTTAAAATTTCTTAAGTCGTTCCACTTGGTTTCCTTAACAAAAAAGCATTTGTGCATACTTTTATATATAGCTACCTTAATATAGAAAGGCCCTATCTGACATCGTCGCTGATATACAAAAAGCCGTAACTAACTAAAAATCGAAAATTTACGTTTTAATTGATAATGATGCATTTGATCGCATTATGTGGCTCCAAATCGTTTTATGCAATAAAAGATTTTAGTTAGTTACGGCTTTGTGCATTTCAGCGACGATGTGAGATAGGGCCTTTCTATATTAAGGCAACGATATATAAATGCACATAACTCTGTACTTAATACTTTACACACTTTTCTTTTAGTTTATCTTGTATATAAATCACTTTAATTAAACTTTTATCGACTTGTAAATTACATTGAATTTCACGCATATTTACAATAGGTTTGTTCGTCGAAAATCCAGCAAGAATTATCCAACACTCAAAATATCAGAGAGTAAGAAAAAATTCTCTCAAATTCTCTCTCATGTTGAGAAACTTGCAAATTTCTGCACGAACGCAAATTTGCAGGAATTTGCAAGTTTCGCTGCCAGCTGGCGTCCACGGTTGCATTTCAAACATACAAATTTTTTATAGAATTTTTAAAATTCTTTCGGACGGCCAAAAACAGGATGTACATGTATATTTCTTGTTATTCTGACTTTCTTTAACATACATTTCAATTTCTTCATCGTACTAGCTGTCGGGTTTCTTAAATCGACTCTGGTTGCAATTGCATTCCGATTGCGAATACCATTTTTTTCAGCCGAATTAAGTTCAAATCATTGGAATTAACTAAATTAATTATATCAACAATTATTTACTTCCTTTTTTCATAAAAAAATCGCTCGTGTTTATAAATTTTTAAATTTAACGAACTAATTTATTCAAATTATTGTAGACAAAAATGCAACCATGCGCCACAACCACATGTTTTTCGTGTTTGCAAATTCTTCCTGGCAAAATTTTTTCCAGCAAGAATTTGCAACTTCTCTCCAAGAGAACTGTCACTTTGCTCTCACAATTTTTGAGTGTTGGATAATTTTTTGGTCTGCACGAACGCGATTTGGGCAAAAATCGTAATAATTCGTACAAATTCGTACAAATTTTTTGCTCGACGAACAAACCTAATAACACATGGTTGCAAACTGACACATAACAAGTGTTGCCATATTGTAAAAAACAATACATACAAAGAAGGCAATGATTAAAAAGGAATACAGGGGAAATCAATACAAAAGAAAATGTTCAGCTCCTTTTCTTCGCAAAACAGAAAGGAGAATTCTACTGCCTGAGGGTTATAATCCCTAAGTGCGGCCGAAGNGCCTACGCAGAAAGGTGTTCTCTGCAAAATTTGTTCAGCCCCCCCTTCTTCGGCAACACAGAAATAATAATTCTACTAAGTAAAAATTCCGAATTAAAAATCCGCTTTTGTTATTCAAAATTCCAGTCTGGTGGCACTAAGTTGTATGTTATTTTGCTATCTTATTCATCGTTTATATGAAAACTTTAACAATAAATTATATAAGAACTATAGGGTTGCTAGAAAAAAGGGGGGTAGTTTTGAAATCAGGGGGTCCTATTCTACCCCCCCTCATCCCCTCTTTTTCTAGAATTTGCCGTCCGTCTACTAAAATTTTCCCAATGAAAATTCTACTGGCCGTGGGACTCGAACCCACGTCCTTGCGGTTCGTTAATCCGCATTACTGCCGTTTGTCAGGGCAAAATTATTATGTGGCGAAACGAACGAACTCCAAGAGGCACAACCAAGCGTGCTATCATCTATACTGCTGGCTAACTTTAGCCGTCATCAGCCGTCATCAGCCGCCATCGATTCGCCAACAGTTAGCGAGTGGCGAAACGAACGAACTCAATGAGGTACACCCAAACTCGCTATTGTCCATCTTTGCTAGCTAACTTTGTTGTTGCTTTCACATACAACCGGAACTCAAACATAGCAAGCAACGAAGTGGCGAATCGATGACGACTAGTAAGCATTTCTTTCATTTCCTGGATGTGATACATTCTTTCTGTTTCCGTTTCGCACAAACCCATGTTCCACGTCCTTTTTCCTGTTAAAAAAAAATTGCTTAAGAGCGGCAACACTATGCGTGCTGGTAAACAGCTGTTCCAAAATAGCTACAACACCCATCGTCGGCGACGTGGAAGAGACGAAAACTAAAATTAGAACAATNAGCGGCAACACTATGCGTGCTGGTAAACAGCTGTTCCAAAATAGCTACAATACCCATCGTCGGCGACGTGGAAGAGACGAAAACTAAAATTAGAACAATAAAGTGTCAAATATTGGAAAAATGGCAATAAACACCATATTAAGCAGATGGCGATTAAAAAAGTATTAGTGTAAATGTCCAGGAAATAATAGATTAGCAACAAGCTAAGAAAACAAAATATAAAAAAATTACTTGTGCTGAAGTTCTGCAGGTGCCGCTTGATACCACAAAGTGTTTTGCCAATGAAAAGTTGGTGGTGATAAGATTTCAAACAAAACCAGGACAGAGAAAAATAGGGACGACGCCGTGGATAAATTGCAATTATGTAATTCGGTTGAGGCGATGGACACCTAAATTTTTACCTCTCGGTGGTTATAACTTAAGCGTTTTTTATACATTTTTCAAGGCATACATACATACATATGGATATATCTATTTTAATTGTACCAAAGCATTAGCAGACATGGATTCTTTATTATTTTTAACGGCTGCGGCGCACCTCTTCTACGCGCCATTCACCAAAGTAGAGGAGAGCTTTAATTTACAAGCAATGCATGACATACTCTATTTACGGCAAAATTTTTCCCAGGTTTGTTGTATATTATTAACTGCATTATACAGGTTTTTTTGGTTGACTATTTATTTTGCATTTCTATAGTACGACCATAACGACTTCCCCGGCGTGGTGCCACGCACTTTCCTCGGCCCACTTGTTATAGCGATATTGTCCTCACCTTTTATTATACTTTTTGAAGCACTGCAAGTGAATAAGTTCTGGGCGCAATATGTAGGTAAAGAGAACATGTCCTGGCATACATTGGGATGCATAAATTACGTTTACACCTGAGTAATTTTATTAAAATTTTTTTATTTTTCATTTCATAATTTTAGTGCGTTTAGTTTTAGCCGCTGTAGTAACAGCATCCTGGCACAACTTTCGCCGTGTGATAACCAAGCAGCTAGGTACTGAAGTGCGGCTATGGTTTACTATAATAACATTGACGCAATTTCATTTCATATTTTACATGAGTCGTCCATTGCCGAATATCTTGGCTTTGCCTGTTGGTAAGTTGATTGAGATAATGTAAAATATTTATAGGGAATAAGCGTGCTGTTAATTTTAATTATTTCTTTTGCAGTGCTCTATGCTTTGGCATATTGGTTACAAGGTCAAACGAAACAGTTCATTATTAGTTCTGGTATTGCAATACTAGTATTTCGTTCAGAACTGTTACTATTCTTGGGGCTTCTGCTGGCGTATGACGTATTGTTCCGCAAGGTTTCAGTTCAGTGGTAAGACCAACCAACCTGCTCCGATTCGCTTGCTAAGATTTGATTTTATTTTTTAATACAATATTAATACAATTGCAGCGTATAAAAATAGCATTACCCGCAGGTTTAGCTATTTTGGCCGTCACAATCACTTTGGATTCATTTTTCTGGCGTCGCCTCTTATGGCCCGAAGGAGAAGTACTTTGGTACAACACAATACTTAACAAAAGCTCCAATTGGGGTGTATCCTTTCCAAAAGCTTAAAACAAAATTTTTATTATTTTTTCTCTCGATATTGGGCCGTATGAGTGAAAACAAAGCAATTGATTTTTCCTTCAATTTCAGAACATGGTGCAATAATTCCACCATTCTCAGATCTTTTTCTCGATTAATGCCCGGTTGAACCAATAAATTTTAAATTTCTCATATGATAAAATTTAAAATTACACAATTTTGTTCGGATTATTCGAGAGAATTACCATGATTATATCATAATAATAATGTGTATAATTCCACCACCAGTTTGGTGAAACCGAGCATTATTCGGAAATTTTAAGAAAAAGCAATTCTTGATTATATTCATACGGCCCATTGTTATGTAAAATCTTTTACCGTAAGACATTTTTCATAAATTTCGGTTACCTTAGCTTCGCAATTCGCAGACATCTCCCTTTTTATGGTATTTCTATTCAGCCCTGCCGCGAGCGTTGGGTGCCTCAATTGTTCTAGTTCCCTTTGGAGTTTATTTGGAACCACGCACACGCCCATTGGTGATTGCGGCTTGGCGTTTGTCCTTATTTATTCATTGTTGCCACATAAAGAGTTGCGTTTTATTGTTTACGTATTTCCAGTGCTCAATTTGGCCGCCGCATGCGCGTGTAGTCGATTGTAAGTCAGTTAATATCCTTATAGCAATTAAAAAAAAAAGGTTTAATTCAACTTTTTAGCTGGCTCAATAGCGGAAAATCAGTTTGGCATCAATTTCTTGCATTTAGTGCTGGTGCACATTTATTAATCAATATTCTTATTACTGTGTTACTCTTGGTTGTATCAAGTACCAATATCCAGGGGGCGTAGCAATGACACGTCTACATCGCTTGGAGGCCGAAACACCCAATGTGTTTGTGCATATAGCAAATTTAGCTGCTCAAAGTGGGGTTTCGCGTTTCCTGCAAATTCGAGACGATTGGCAGTAAGTTACCCAAACGTTTTTTGAGTATTTAATTAGCTTTGTCTGTTTAAATATTTAACGAATTCATTTCAATTACAGCTATTGCAAAAACGAATCGTAAATTATGGCCCCGGGCAAACGCAACGTTATACGCATCTCATGGTGGAAGCAAAAAACAAAAATAATATACAACTATGGTCTGATCTGCAGGAAGAGTTTGAAATTCTGGAGTTTGTCGATTGTTTCAATAACATTGGCATTCAATACAGCTCATTTGTGCCAATTCGCATCAAGACAAAGCCATGTATTGCCATTTTAAAGAGACGAAAACTTCCGGCAAATGCTATCAGCAGCAAACAGAAGGCAAAAGACGAAATAAATTGAAGAGAAAAAGTAAGAAGTCAGTAGGTATTCCAACGGCGGATGCACCTCTGGGTGGTGAACATATTTCAAAATTAATTGAGCTTGAAATACCAGATGACATGTATAACTTAGAAAAAACACTGAATAAACCTCTAGAAGATCACAAGAATTAGCAGATGATGCCGAAGCAAGAAGTCAATTGAGGATGGTTACGTAGAAGACTGGACATTAGAAGTACTGGATGAAGAGGAGCTTGAAAAGCCGTTTGAAAGTCAACAACCTCAAAAGCAACAAACTTCTGTTGGTGGATCCCACCGAAGCCACGAATCTTCAGAAACGTTAAACCAGAGCAGGAACTGACGACGAAACAGTCGACATGTCCGATCAGCTGACGAAAGAAATAAATTTTCAAGAACTTCGCAATCTTGCACTGGGTAAAGTGAATCGAAAAACTAAGGCAACGAAACTGAAAATTCGACAGCTAATCGAACAGCATTACCGCTCAAAGGGGCGTCAAATTGAAAATTCTGCAGAAAAAGTGGAGAAACGACCCAACATTGGTGTCGCGCCTAGAACGCGCCAATCGGTTAAAGCCATTATAAAACAAGAACGAATTAAGGAAATGATTGAACAAATCTCTACAATGGACTTGACACGTATTTGCGACCTAGAGCGAGTATCAACCAAAGACTGTCTAAAACAGGTCATCGATAAACTGGATGTTGATGATAAGACGAAAAGCATATCGTGAAAATATATAATATGAAAACTAAATTATATTATTTAATATCAACATGTAAATGTTCGCTTTTATTTTTTGTTCATTACAATTAAGCAAACATTTATTAAAAAAAATGCCGATTTCAGTAAATGATATACATTGCAAAAAAATGGATTTGCAGTAGTAGTCCGAGCAAAGCCAAACCCCATGTTGCACGATACAGCATCAAATCTCTGCTGCCACCCTTGAGATGTATCGGTTTGCCGTCATTTTTTTGAAAATGCATTTGCAGTTGTTTAATTTTCTCAAAGCCAGGATTAGGTTTCTTCGAGGGACCTGCACTTGGGCCGCAAGAAACCGATTTTTTACCACCTTTTTCAGCACCTCCGACTGCACCCGCGCTAAATCGTCTAGTCACCGCTAATAAGCAGCGACTACTCCCTCGGATCAACGTCGGCTGCAATAATAAACGTGCATCCATATAAATATACATTTTTTAATTTCAAATACATAAGTATATTAGTCATATTCCTGCTTACACGAAACAATGCGAGCATCCTTTGATAAAGAAACAGTTCACGAAGAGCAAACAAACAATAATGAATATTTCAGTTTTGGCACTGATCTCGTAGGTAAAAAAACATGATTCAATAATGAATAATAATAATAATAATTTAATCATGGGTAAAAAATACCAAGCCGCTAGGTTAACATAAAGGTTGATTTGTCATGAATATACAGCACAAAAAATGTATAGTAATGTAGGAATAGAATGTGGCCTTTATGCGAATACACTACCAATTGCACCATTCGCTTTCGTACTGAAGTCCATCCCTCTAGCTAGTCCATTTTAAATGATTAAAGCTGTGGCCATAAGCAATTACCACCAAAGTCGGCTTAAGAAAGAATTGAGTTTTATATGCTATGGTATCCGGAAACTACTGGCATTAAGAGTATTCGCGATGCAAAGAACTTGCACAAGCTGGTACAAGAGAACACTTTTAATGCATATTTAAGTTGCGTTCGCCAATCCATTCGCTTCGCAACGGATAATACCGCCCTTAATATACAACATTTAAGTTGCGTTCGGAGTCGTTATTGCAGAGGATCCTCGATATGTATACTACATAGCATGTTCAAATATCTCAAAAATCTAAATAAAACACTAGTTTTTACCTTTTCCTTCAATTTTAATGAGGTTTAAAGGCCGATGTTTTTATATAAAGTATATTTCCAAGTTTTAAATGCATTTGTGTGAATGCTCAGCTGCTTAACATTTTAAATGGTAATGACAAACAAGAGGATATATTCGCCACTTCAGCATTCAACATCATATGGACAACTGGAACAAATAAAACATGTAGCACATTAATTTTTTAGTACATACGTTATTGTTAATAGCGCTTACCACACAAAACAAGGAAACATACAATTACATCAAGATTAGTCGTATATTTTTCTACTTTAGGAGCTTAATTTAAAACATTAATTACAAGAGTTTTGCTACGTAGCTCTTGTCATGCATTTAATCTTGGCTTTTTGGGACGCTCAAGTCGTAGAACAATTTAACCATACCACCAATACCGGCCAAACTTAAAGCGACGGTAAGACGATACAGAAGTTGATCAGCAAAAGATCCCTTGAGGAACACTGGCTTGCCATCATGCTTTTGGAAGTGCTCTTGCACCTTCTTCAGTTCGAAGTAGCCTTTATCAATCTCGTTTTTGGCTGCAGTACGACGTGCAGAGGTTGTGGTAAGATTGCGAACAACGACCTAAAATTTGAATAAATCAATTAAACATTTTTTGTTAAAAATTAAGTTTCGATAAGACCCATATCTCCCGTTATTAGGAATCGGATCTTACGTAACATTAACCAATCGTACATATAAAAGGTGTATTTCGACAAAGTCTTTAGTTTTTAAACAAAAAAAAAGCTCTGTACTTACTCTCGACAAGTTAAGCATTTTGGCAGAGCTCATATTTTGTAAAAATTATATTGTACTTTGCAAAATGTGTAAATTTATTACAATTGGCGGAGGCTTACGATGTGCACAATAGAATCTTCATAAAAATTGACAGATTTTTGACGTGACCCACTGGAAACTGGAGTTTTCTTGGGCCTGGAAGAATGTAGACACAGGGTGAACCGGTGAATAATAAGAATAAATTAAAATTTAACATGAGTTAGGCTGGAGGTACACTTAGAAACTAGAAGCAACTAGTTTGTGCAGCTCTGTTATTCATATCAATTTTTTAGGCGTTATGGGCCTGTTCGAGGCACGTAATCAAAGCGGCAATACTGCAGCGCTGATGAAAATTTGCAATACTGTTTTTGCATGTGTTTTTTTTATGTGTATTATGCTCTGTCTGATTTGTCCAGTAGGACGTTGCTCAAACTG